TCAGAGCCCCTCACCATCCTGGGAGGAGAGATGCTGTTCCCACGTTATCCCTCTGGTGCTGCTGGTGGGCTGGGGGAGGGAACATGGCCTCCACTGACCCTCCTCTCCTGGGGGACATTAGCAAGCCCCATAGATGGGGGGGTGAGGCCTTATGGTGCCCCTCTCCCAGTTGCTGTATATCCACACTGAAAGATCCAGGCTCCTAGGAGGGCAGAAAGCCCCGTGGACGGCCAACAAGGACCTGCTCCCCTTAGGAGGACATCTCTTTTTGCCACCCCCTGCCCCCATCAACTCACAGTCACAGCCTAGAGGTTGAAGTGGAGTCTTTTTAGCTAGAAAATTCCATGAAGTTTTGGTTATCAAATCATCTTTCCTCTTCCTGTTGTCCTTATTTTGCTATTATTTGTACATTCATCCAGGCATGAAACTTCTAAGTAAATATGTAGTTTCTTAAAAATTTGAAGCTGTGTGAGGAAAAAAAAAAAAACTTCTCTATGGGTACAGTAAAAGCAGTAGTAATTGTAGGATAAAATGGACATATATTCACATTTTATTTGATTAGTTTTTAAAAGCAGATTTACAGTCATTTATTGGTTTAACATAAAATGTATTGATCCTGATTCAATTTTTTTTTTAAACCAAATTATTTTGGCTGGTCACTTTAGCAATGCAGGAGCCTGGGAAAAACAGGAGTAATTTGTGGATAAATTTATTTTTCTCCAAATTTTTGGATAATGAAACAAAAATGTTTTTGGAATTCTTTCACAACATTGGGTTTTTTTCCACTTGGTTTTTTCCACTTCTACCTGAAGGTCACCCCCTCGCTCTTGTCTAATTAGTCATTTTGACTTGTCAATTGTTCCTTCAAAATCACTCTCCATTTAGTCCTCTTCTCATCCCCAGCAATGTGGAGCAGCGGTCCACCCCCACATTACAGTCTATATGATTTTTCTTATTTAGGGGAAAAAAAAATGATTCTCAAAACAGGCTCCCATTGAACACTGGTGTCCCTGAGCGTGCTGAGGCACTAGAGAGCCAAATAATAGTGGTCTTTTCTGTCTGCAGGGGGAAATGGTCCTACTGCATGGAATGTTTTCGATTAAAACATTTCCCCCCCTTGGTTAAAAATCATTACCACCACAACAGAACAACTTTGTGTTCACTATCACTTATACTAGAAGAGACTAGCAGAAAGCAAAATTAAAAAAAATCAAGTATATATCTGATTTTAACAGAAAAGCTCAGAAACGGTCTGCCATGCTGGTCTAGGGGAGCAAGCCCTTTTTCGGGGGACTGAGATTCGCCAGTGGACCTGATTTTGGGGGGCCCTTAGAAATGCACGAGGGCCCTTGGCCAGGCCAGTCAGAATATTCCTGACCATTGTGACTGGTTTGGGGATGGCAATGTGACCTCAGACTTTGGTGCTGCCTTTGGAGAAGTAAGCTGGGTCTTCCCTTTGGGGTGTTGGGGCTGTTGGCAGCATAAAGGAAGCTCACTGCCAGGGGAGAGGGAGGCCACCAAGTATGGAGAGAGGGCTCTGATGACATTGGAGCTGGTACTACCCTAGACTCTTCTTACAGCAACCAAGCCATTCCCTTTCTATCATGGGCTGGCAGGGGGGCATATTGTCATGTTTCCTCTGGGCATGACTGTTTCCTAGATTGTATGATAGAAACGAACACATGCTTACTTCTCCATGTTCCTGAGAGAGCTCTGTGATACTCAGCAGCCCTACCGGAGACCCTCTGCTCCAAGTCGCTTCCCATTGATCAGCCAGGATTCCCTGATTCTGAGGCTCCTGCTCTGTCAAGCATGCCCTCAGCTTTCAGTAGTCCAGTGGCCCTACTGTGGTCTCCAGGTGGGGACAGGCCTCCTCCCCAGCCCCAGGCTTCCTGGTCTCGGTTCTCCTGGCCCTCAATGATCATTCCCTCCAGGAGCCCTTCCACATAGAGTGTCAACCCCATCTCCCTGACAATTGTGAGGGCAATCCCTAAGCCCTGGGGGCTTCCCAGGAATTCAAAGCACAGGAGCTCCCTCAAGGTTCAAATCTGGCCCAGCAGGACTGGGAGGCATGAGACTCTGGGGAAAGGGGTTGTGAGGAAGGGGATGCTTCTGCCACCCCCTCTCTCCCAATTCTCTGGGCCCCTCACATGCAGTTTTGCCTTGGTTTATATATGACTCATTGAGCACACAGAACCTCCAAACCCAAGACCACCTTCCCTACCATCTGAGGGAGGCTGCCTCCTCCCTGTTGGGCCAGCTCTCCATCTTCCCAGCAGGGCACTTCCCTTGTCCGGAGGCCTCTGCCTTGAGAACGGGACGGAAAGCAGGGTCTCTGTGAAAGCGCGGCACCTCCTTGGCAATCAGCTCTTGCCCCACATCGCCCACGGCCCCAGCCAGGCCCCCCACCGCACGCAGAGAGGGGTGCTGGTGACCACTCCGCTAGAGCTGCGGGCCTTAGGGCGGCCTCTCCCTGGGAGCCAGTGGCCCCAGGCTCCCTGGGTAGGGCAGCGCCAGAGGGGCGTCTTGGAGGGACCTTACGCCAGGGCAGTGGCTCTGACCCCTGGGCCAGCCCCACCCCTTTCGTTTTCGGTCATTCCCATTTGTAAAGTGGGAGCAACGGCCACCTCACGGAGCTTTGGCTGGAGTTACATGGGCCGACCAGCTTGTCAAGCACCCTGTTGAACAGACACCAGTGCCCCGCCATCCAGGACGTACACAAGGGCGGCAGTGGATGCAGCTTCTCCCAGGGCCCCATGAGGGAAGGGGTGTGGACAGGCTGGCTTTTCTCCGGGGCCCTGGGGGACCCCCGTGGCCACAGCCAGCTTCCTCAAGCCCCTCTTCGGGTTCTGGGAGTCCTGAGAGTGCCCATCCCCACGCAGGGTGGTCTCCTCGTGAACTTTACTCTCTGTGGGCCCTCTGGGGTCTGGGGATGGGGATGTGCACCCCAAGGACCTCTCCCCAGCTGCCCAGCAAAGAGCTTCCCCCAGAGGCCCAAGGAAGGGCCGTAGTCCCAGGGGGCAAGCCTTCCCAAGTCCTGCCCCGCCCTTGGGGCTGAGTCCACAGGAACAGGCAACTGCACCAGGTCCTGCTTGTTCAGTGAGAGTTTATTGGTCCTTAGCATGACATCTCAGTTACCAAGGTAAATTCACATACACGACTGCAGGTAAAAACATGTAAAATAATATAAAAATAAATTGAAGGCTACTTTTATATATTTACTGAATTAAGTAGTGTAATAAATACTATAATAAGCAAAAAGCTTCAATCACACAATTCAGTTTCACTGAAGTTACAGTAGTGTTTGTAAATATGAGTTTTAAAATTTAAGTTACAAATATTAAAGCACTGAAAAACTAGTATAAAAGTGAATTTTGGCACGTAAGTGAGCTCTTCTGTCATTAGTATTTGACAACCTGGGACAAGGAAGCCTTTTCTCACCTACTTTTTGAGGTACAACTATCCAACTAGGTCAGCGACACACTGGAATACTTAATAGTTTACAATCTTTGAGTTAACTTTTCCCTTTTGAGAAGCCCAAAGAGCAACCCAGAGCTTATTACTGTGCAAAAATTCTCCAAAATCCTAATAGAATTTAGGAGGGAACTTTTTCTTGCGACCCCCAGGGCCCAGGGTCCTGGCCTCAGGTCAGAGAGCCCCCAGGGCTCGGATGGGGCCAACTGGACTCCTTGCCAGCACCCCCTTCCTAGGGTGATCCCTCTTCTCCAATTTCAGCCTCCTCCTTCCAATCAAAAAAAAGAAAAAAAAATCCCACATCAAAACGTAAAATAACCCATAACTTCAGCGACTTCAAATTATCACACTCACTCTGGGTGATATAAAACTGAAGCTGCTAATAGGAAAGTTGGCAAAAAGCACGTAAGCCCCTGGAGGACTTCTGCCTGTCCCTACAGAACCTACTACATCTGATGTCTCTGCTGGGTCCCTGGCATCCACTCCCGGTCAAAATCTACAACACAGTGTCATGGCCCTTCCTCTGGAGACAGCCTAAGACCCTGTCCCTCCACGTGGAGCTCCCAGAGGAATCAAGTGGATATTAAACTTCACAGTCAGAACCCAGAGGTGCCTGGCAGGTTCCAGAAGGGGCAGTGCGTGGAGGGGGGAGGGGAAGAGCATCCTCCCTGCCTCAGTCCTCAAAGAGCTCACACAGTCAGTGTGCCTCTTTACCAGGAGCACAGCAAGTGCGCCCCAAGGAATGCCCTTTCGCCAGTGTGCCCCTTCGCACTCCCAAGCAGGCTGAGGAGTGTCACCGGAGGCCTCAGCCAGTTCTGCCTTTTTGGCTTTGGAACTTCTTAACGTTTTGACTTTTTTCAATCACAGTTTCATATTCAAGTTGAGGTAATCACAGTTTTCCCTCTAACAGCAGAGGAATTGGGGTAGTGGGGCAAGTTGGTGAGAGAGCATTTCTGCGGACAACGGTCAGAAACCAAGACCACCACGTAGTGCAGCCCCACGCAGTGGGAAGACCCGCTTCTATGCGCGGGCTCTGAACCCTTTTTAAAAACTCTTTTGTGCAGCCACCAGGAAATGGCTCGAGCTCCTCAATCTAGAGCTTTCATTTAAAAGTTCACAGCAACCCACCTGGAGTAAATGGCCTATGGTTCCCCTACCCCACCCACCCACCCCACTTCTCCCTTCTCTAAGGCTGCTCAAGGTCGAGTTTTTAAAAAGAGCTCAGTAGAGCTAAAAGAAGCTACAGTAACTCATTGCTTAGTTCAACAATTGCACTTAAGATCTACGTTATTGATTCTGAAGCAGAGGCAGGCCCATTGTGGACCCCAGCCTCTGGCCCACCAGAAGTGAGGTGCTCCCAGACTTGGGCTCCACACTAGGGCCCTTGTCACCACCAGCTTTGGGAGTTGGGAATGGAGCACATGGGCCTTTTCAGAAGGCTTTCTTCATGCAAGATTTCTTATTTAGTGGTATTTTGAGTTTTGTTCATTTGGCTTCAAATATAGATTATTTTTTTCTAATACAAGTACATTTTACTGACAAGCCCTTAACACCTGCTTTGCTACTTGCATGGAGGCCTCTGAGTAACCAGGCACACAGGTCACATGTGCTCCATCCTTTCTCAGTCTCTCCTCTGTGCCAGCGGCTGTTCTCAAAAACCCCTCTACATTACTGGAAACTGCTGGTTTCGTCTATGTGCTTCTTCCTAAGGCATGCAAAAAAATATGTGAAATTCAGAAAGCATTTACAATCTAGGCAGCTGAGGCGCTGAAGTCCTAACAGACATCACCCAAATATCAGTGCCTGTGACCTCCCCCCACCCCAAACCAATTCTGGAAGTCAGGCACCGGATCCATTTCTAATTCCCCTCTGCTTTATGGTCCAGCTGCAAACAAAGCCCCTGGAAGGAATTCTAAATTGGATATTGGAATTCTTTGAAATTCCCGGTCTACAGGAGCCAAACAAGTCCAGGGCCAGCAACAATGCTTGGGGACGTAAGTTTCCTGAAGTTTGTGGCTGCAAACCAAGCCTTCCCTGGTAAGGCTCAAGGGAGGGCTGGGTGCTGGAGAGTGAGCCCCCTTCAGGGATGCCGCACAAGTGATCAGAGCCCTGGGCCTAAGACTAAGTGGTTGCAGGATGCTCCCCTCAAAAGTGAGGCAAAGCATCACCAGGGAGGCTGAAGCAGCAGGTTTGCTCTTGCCCTGACTGAGGCAAACCAGAGTGAGGGGAGCTCAAAACCAACCTCCAGGGAGACTGCTTGTATCAATTCAAAAGCCACATGCTTCTGGAAAGCAACATGCCTTTCCCCTCAGTTTAGTCTGTAAGGGACAGCTCCTCATCTGAGAACAAGCTGTTGATCTCAGCCCAAGCTGCTGGCTCTGTGGGTGGGGCTCAGGCAGGGCCTGGGGTGGTCTCCCCAGGACCGGGCCCATGGCCAGCAGGGCCCGCTCCTTCAATGCAAGGGGCCTAAGCAGGAAGCCAGGCACTCCACTGGGGACAGGGCTCTCCTGGGACAGTGTCTGAGGCCCAACACCTGTGGTGGCTTGGTCCCCCAGGCATGGCCACAGTTCAGGCAGCCAGGGTTCCTTCTGCTTGCCAACAGCAACTCTGTGTAACAAATGATTCTCCCCACTGTCACAGTGCCTCAGCAGCCCAAAGGAGATACCCAGAGGTTCTGGGCTGCCAGCCCCACACACAGGGCAGTCCCTATCTGCTCATCCTCCATGAAGACCCCCCCACCCCCCATCAGTGGTGCAGGTGATGCTCTTCAGCGCTGTATAGAGAATAAAGACAACATGCACTCAAGCCAGTACACAAAGGCCAAGAAGAAGAAAGACAGCCCCTTTAGGGAGGGGCCTCTGGGAGAGCTGAGGTTAAGTAACCCCATTTTTAAACGTCCACCTCCAGGGTGGACGTTCTCCAGGATGTATGGCCCAGCCTTCCCCTAGGGCTTCTGCTCAAAGAGGTCATGATACTCCTGCTGTTCCAGCTCTCGGTTATACTTCTCAATTTCCCGGTTGGCTTCTTCCACGTAGTCATTCATGAACTGGTCCATGACTGGTATCTCATTAAGGAAGAGAGCCCTGAGCCAGGAAGACAAGGGAGGCTGCCCAGGCCCAGCGGGATCTGTGGGCAGCTGAGGTGGGGGACACTTAAGTAGTGAATGCCCAGCCCACACAAAGCCTACCTGCCGGGCTCTTTTTCTATACTGGCCGCACCCCAGCTACAGAGAATAAGCCAGGGTTGGCAAAGGTTCCTCCATGAGGTCCTAGAGCTGAGCCCTTTGGCAATCACATCTAGTCTCCAACTTGTAAATTATGATCCCTGATGACCACAGAACGCAGGATGTCACCACAGCTACATTTAAACTACAACCTACAGATGCTTCAGCGAACGAAGGTGAAATTAATTTTAATGACGTCAGAAGGCCCAAATGAAAAGTCTGCCTCTATGGCTTGCTGCACGCTCTCAGAACCCAGCCTGCTCTAGGAGGTGGGCTGCAGTGGCTCTAGCAGACACCCTCTTTACGATCAGGCTTCCACACACGCCCAACCTGGCCACCACAGATTCTAAGGATACGTGGGTGAAAATCAGTCTTGTCACCAAAGAAGTTGACAAACTGGGTGCCATTGTAAAAGTAGCCTGCGGGCAGGGGGTCCAGGTGGCGTTTCACCTGTAGGAAAAAAGAGTCCTATTAAAATTATCTGACCACGTTCTATCATCTACTCATTCATTCAAAACAAGCCTATGACCTTAGCAAGACAGCCCACTCTGCCCCATGGAAGGCTAGACATGCGAGGGAATGTCCTCCCTGCAGCAGTTCTCAAGTAGTGACTGATGGAGGTCCCTAAGCTCTCAGGGAGGAACTCTGGGAGTTTCTCATGGGATTAAGCTCCAGTCATCCTCAGTGGTACTGGTTTGATAACATACCCTTTGTTAGCTGTCTCCCCTTCTTTCTCTCCCTTACTTTTCCCACTTCCCTGCTAGTGTCTCCTAGAATCACTTGCAAAATAAGCTACGTGTACTCAAATCCATGTTCAAGGTCTGCTTCTGGGGAACATACACTACAAGGACTGCCTTCTGAGGTACCCACAGTCTCCTCCCCAGGAGCACCCAGGGTTGCCCAGGACAGGAGCTGGGTATGAAGGGACCTCCTCAAGTCCAAAGCAGGGGCGCCTAGGGTCCCAGAGCCTCTCCCACCCATTCATTACTGGGAGAAGTGGCACAGCCTGTGCTGGGGCCTGGACTCTGTGTCCCTTGTAGCCTTTGCTCCCAAGCCCCCAGGAAAAGGTCCCCAGTGGGGGTCGGGACTGGGACAGAGGCTGAGAGTCAGCCTGAAGGCTGAGGGGCTCATCAAAGAGCCTCTCATGGTGGTCCCAGAATTCTATCCCCTGCTTATTAGCAGCTTCTGGATCTAGACAGCTTTTCTTGGGCTCGGTTGCTTTATCTGTGGTTTATATCTAGCATGGAGGGATGAGAGGAGAAAGGACTTCTGTGGCTGCTTCAACAGTGTGTCAAAACAGGGCTCCATGTCACCCCTTCCTCCCACAGGCACTGCTTCTCCTCTATCTCATGCCCAGGTCACACCAGATGTCCCTCTACCCTCTTCCTCTCAGGCTACAAGGTTGGAGGGTCTGAGGTTCCTCTTTACCCAGCTTCCCTCTGTGGCTTAAGAGGAGCAAGACCTCCAGCATGCCCTATAAATAGGCCCCTCACTCAGGGAATCCTAAAGGATGGAGCTGTGCCAGCCCAGAAGGATAGCCTTGGGACTCTTAGGGGACTCACGTGGATATTCCTGATCTCCTGCTGGGTCAGCATTCCCCTGGTCTTCAGGGCTTTCCTCTGAGGCTTCTGTGCAGAGATGTAAGGAGGGAGGGGTCAGGTCCCAATGGAGCTGATGGAGTACATGGGCAGGCGAGGGCTCAGGGGGCCAGTTACATGACTTAAGATCCCAGTGGCGGGGAAAGAAAGCACAGCACTGCCGTGGCCTGGACACAATATCCTGCCTGCCTGCCCCTCAAGGAGACCACTTACCACCACAGAACCCTGTGTGCCAGGGGAAACAAGCAGCAGAGGAAACACCAGTGCTTCTGCAAATAGCATGTTCCTGTCTCTGAAGATCCTCGACTCTAAGCCCTACCAGTGCCAGGTATGCAGACAAAGGGACAACATGAGGTCCCCTACTCAACCATTTAGGAGTTTATCCAGTTTATCTGAGAAAAACAGCCTACAGGCAGCCATCCCTCAGTATAAAAGACAGGTTCCAACTAAGCATCTACAAAGGACCCAGGGCCCAGTCAACTCTATTTCCAGAGTTCTAAGTCAACCTCAACCCCTGAGGCTGTGCTAAGAGGCCTAGCACCCGACCTGCATCATATTAGAGGATTTTAACTCCAGTCTAGGTTTTATTTTTCTTTGCAGTACTGGACTAAAGATGCTTATGTGCCTCTATAGGCAAGCATCCTCTTCCCTTGAGACTCCCTGGGCTCACTGGTATCAATGCTTCAAGTCTTGGTTTGCAAACAGCCGTAAGCATATCTTTGTTGTTTCTCATTTCTAGAGACAGAACCCAAGTATAGGATTCTGGGCTCGGAACACAGGACAGCCCGAATTAGGTTCAGCTAAGAAAAGACAGTTTGAGTTTAGACTGCCAGGCTGACCCAGGATCCACATGGAACCACTAGGTTTCACCCAGGTCCTAGTTAAGCCACCTAATAACTGCAATTTGCCTTGGCAAAAGAATTAGAAATGGCTGTAAGAACAGGTCTGCCTTGAGGTTACCCCGAGTGGCTTCCTCCTACTTGCAAACCATCCCTGAAAGTGCTGGCTGAGCCTGTGAAGGTGGACGAGGAGGGAGGTCATGGGAGGGGCTTCTACCCCAAGGCCAGGAGCAGCTCTGAGGTGTGCTGGTCACATTTGTGCCAGAGGTGTCTGGGCTTTGGAAACCACCTGCTTAGCTGACTGCCGCAGCCAGTCCTTGACGCTTTCTTCCTTCAGGGAGCAGCCGATGAACACAAGGTAACATTCCTGCTGCCCGTTGCTTTCTTGAGGTGTGCTTCGGGAGTCAGGCGGTGGCGAGGGTCCCTCCAAAACAGGGACAATGCTCAAAGAATTGGCCAGAGTGTTATGGCAGACCTCCATGGCCTTCTCAGAGTCTGCAGGGAGAACACACGTAGCCCCTGAGCCCCAAAAGGATAAAGCCACACTAAGACTGTAACGTGCAGATGGTTGGGGACAGATTCCTGTGACATATGCAGGAGGGAGAACTGCCACGATTGGTGTCAAGTTACAAAGGATGACGTAAGAGAGGCAGGAGCAATGTAAATCTCTGGCTTGGCTGATTTGGTAACCAGGTGGATGTCACTAACCCAGAAGGGGGCTACAAGAGGAGAGCCCCTAGCAGAGGGCTGAGAGGCCAAGGGAGGAGGGACTGTCAACATACAAGTGGTGCAGGAGGGTCACATGATAGGAACAGGAAAGCTAGGACTGGGCTTATAGACTGGGAAGCCGGGGGCTAGCACAGGAGACACAAGAAAAAGGCAAGGTCCCCCTAAAAAGCAGGATGAGAAAGGGTTCCAAAACAAATAGAGATTAGCTTTGAATAAGAAAGGGGTCAAGAGGGCGCCTGGGTGGCTCAGTTGGTTGGGCGACTGCCTTCGGCTCAGGTTGTGATCCTGGAGTCCCTGGATCAAGTCCCGCGTCGGGCTCCCTGCTCGGCGGGGAGTCTGCTTCTCCCTCTGGCCCTCCCCCTCTCATGTGCTCTCTCTCATTCTCTCTCTCTCAAATGAATAAATAAAATCGTTAAAAAAAAAAAAGAAAGGGGTCAAGAGAAGTTCTAAATTAAGACAAAAACAAGGTGAGAGGGAAGGGGGAGACATTATGACCTCTGAAGCAAGGAGGAGCCTGAGGGAAGCAGGCTTGAGTGAGGGGCCAAAGTTTCAGATTCCGTAACATAAATTAGGCCAAAGACATGGGTTAAGGACCTTGAGAGCTTCTTTTATATAGGTGGTGTCATCTAATTCTCCCATCTGAACCCATATGGTCCCATGCTTACAACTCTCAGTGGCTCCCTATGGCAGACACTGATGGTTGCCTGCCCAGCATGCTGCTCTTTCTCCAATACCAATTCCCCAGAAGGCATGGCAACTCAATCCTGGGCAATGAGAGGAGAAGTCTGCTCAGGAAGTGGTAGGAAGTGCTTCAGTAAAAGGCATCTGTATTGATAAAGCCACCGATAGGAAGACCCTCTCCTATCAGCTGGATGTTGTGTTTGGAGGTGATACCTAGACCTGTAGCACTACCTGGCAATGAGGGGTGGGAACCTGAGGACAAGCTGACATACCATGAATGAAGGAACACACATTACCTGTGTCCTCAGTGGCCCTGCTACGCTGCCTGACCTCTTGACTTATTACACAGCTAACACTTGCTAGTTGAGTTGGTGTTTTCTGTTACAACAGCTAAAAATGCCTTAACAGACATATTCCCGCTAGGCCTCAGCCACAGTGAACCCTTTTTGGTTCCTGCAATGTGCCTTTTTTGCCTTGGTTCCAAAGCACATGCTGTACCTTTTCTCTGGAATATTCTCCCCTTTCTCAATGTTGAGTTGACTAACTCCTTGTCTTGAGGCCTTCCTTGACCTCCAGCCCAGGATGGACAGACTTCAGGTCATTAGGGTTTCCAGAGGTCTAAGGCTAATAAATAGGGAGAAGGCAAGTGGAAGGCTTGAAGACTTCGGCAGAAATGGATCTGCACCTGGAGAGCTCATCACTGGGGCAGCTCCTGGTGACAGGTCTAGGAGGTCATGGATGCCTTGAAAGGGGTTGAGTGAGAGTCTCTGGAACAAGGAAATCAAGGAGCTGTAAGGAAAGGCCTTGGGCAGGCCATCCAGGGGGAAGATAGGAAACATCCTCCACTGTGGAGCAGGACCTGCAGAAAGGCAGGGAGACTAGAAGAACCACTGGTGTCAAGCCCAGATGGGAGGGTTTTCGAGAGAGTCTGAGAGCTATCCGTGGTCTGTAGAGCACCAGTAGAAGCTATGATCCCACATCATGAGATGTGAGCATTCCATAGTGCAGGACTCCCAAATCCAACTCCCCAGTTACCTGAAAACTTCACTTTGCCAAGGATGTGGTAGATGTTTCCAGAGAAGGGACTTGGCTTGATGGAAGACTGAATTGCTGGTGGAGGAAGAGGACAAGGCTGTCAGCTACCTGGGGGCAGAGGCCAATTCAGGGTACACAGCTGGGAGGGTTAGGGACTGGCAAGAATCCCTACTCGAGGGACCAGGGCTCATAGGCTGTCCCTCCACCAGAACCTCCCCAGTGGCTCTGCCACTGTTCCCAAGAGTGGGGCACTCCTGGGTCCTCAAATCCCTCTGCCGGTTTTTGGACCCAATGGAAAGGAGAAAAGACAGCACACATTAATACTAAAATGGTGCCGGGAAGCAGGGACAACTCTGGCATACTCTTTTATCAGGGTCTGGGACATGTCCCAACCAAGGCTTACCTTTACACTTGGCCACGAAGCGAGTCTTCTCCAAGGGACGACCAAACCATACGCAGATCTGAACCATTAGTGGGAAGACTGATCCAGCATCAAATTTACCTTCATACCTTAAAAAGTTTAAAAAGTTTTAAGTACAAGTAATTGGGGCTTTGAGTGTTATTATATACTACTCAGGGATGAATTACATATCCATTGTGTAATATTTGAGTTCTCTCTTACGTGACATTTTGCATGCAAAACACTTGTTTTAAATATGTCTATGTTTCTTTCATCTTGAGACTGGGAAGCATGGTTGCCCCATTAGAGCAGGGAGGTCTGTAGACTAGCAGTTCCTTGAAGCCAAAGACCCCCATCTATCTTTGAAGCCTACCAGTGTGCCACCTGAGATTGGGGGTTCTTCCTGACACCCCTGGAGCTCTTCCTCAGGGCCTCAACTATACCCCACCACTGTTGAGGGCAGCTTCACAGACTGTACATTTGGATGTGCACACTTTCCAGAAGGAACTAAAGAGCTGAGGCATCTCTGCTCTATTTTCTGTTTTGAATTCAGCAGACATAATGCCAACCACAGACTCATTAAGAAGATGCCATGTTCAGGGGTACCTGGCTCAGTTGGTAGAGCACGCAATTCTTAATCTTGGGGTTGTGAGCTCAAGCCCCACGTTGGGTGTAGAGATTGCTTAAAAATAAAAAAAAAATTTTTAAGATTTTATTTATTTATTTGACAGAGACACAGTGAGAGAGGGAACACAAGCAGCGGGAGAAGGAGAAGCAAGCTTCCCACTGAGCAGGGAGCCCGATGTGGGGCTAGATCCCAGAACCCTGGGATCATGACCTGAGCCAAAGGCAGACACTTAACGAATGAACCACCCAGGTGCCCCAAAAATAAAAAAAAAAATTTTAAAAAGGACATGCCATATTCAGAGCATTTGAAAAGTTTAAGTTTTTATTATGGAAAATTGAAAACACACGCAAAGATAGTGAGATAGTGCAATGAACCCCCATCACCCAGCTTCCAAAGTTATGGAATTGTCATTCCTTCTTTTGAATTATTTCCTTGAGATGAATCTGCATGATGGTATCAGTCCAGGAAAGGGTGTAACCATCTCATGGGTAATAACTTACACCACTCCCAGTAGCAGAAGAGTGTTTCAGTTGCACAATTCCCCCAGCAATGATTCTTACAGATATTTACATTGTGTAATATTTGAGTTCTCAGTTAAGTGTAATAGGTTTTAATCAAAGTAACAGCAAGGCATCATTTTACGTTTTTGAGTTACTAAAATGGAATTCTGTTACCCTGGCTGCCATTTATACTTGCTCTAAAGTGAACTGTGCAGGGGCACCTGGGTGGCTCTGTCGGTTAAGCGTCCGACTCATGGTTTCAGCTCAGGTCATGATCTCAGGGTCATGGGTTCAAGCCCCGCTCAGGCTCTGTGCTCAGCATGGAGTCAGCTTGAGATTCCCTCTCCCTCTCTCTCTGCCCCTCCCTCCTGCTCACATACTCGCTCTCTCTCTCTAAAATAAGTAAAATCTTCAAAAAAAAAAAAAGTGAACTGTCCACATCTATATGGACTGGGTTACTTTTCTTCAGTATCAAAATAAGCTTCTCAAATATTATATTAACCCTTTGCCAAATATGATGCAAACATTTTCTTCCAGTCTATTATATTTTATTAGTTTCCTTTGCTTTAAAATAGCTCTACAGATTTGAATTTTATATCATATGTATTATTGAAAGTATCTTACTCTTTATGCTTTCTTTAAAGTAAGGTGCTGGTATAACATTTCTGCAGTACTGACATGTTCTTCTTGCCCTCTCCCAAGATATGGGAGACCATCGGCCTCTCTGGCTTCTTTGTTCAGAGCCTGAATCCTTAGGGAAACTGGGAGGGGCCAAGGGAAGAGTGAAGGTTTCCTGCTAGGCTAGAAACAAGCCTTCTACCAGGGGAGTTGGGGGTGGGGTAGATGAGCACAGAGAGGGTTGTGGGAGGGGAATGGCTGACAATCTGCACAGCACAGAGCTAAGCACAGAGCTAAAGCCTGTTCACTGAGGTGGTGGGCTCTGACTCAGTGAGGGAGGGGGAAAAATATACCGGGATGGCTGATGGCTGCCATCTTGTTAAAAGATTAAATTATCTGATTCTTAGGAAGGGACTCAGAAGGGGGAGGGCCCAAAGGATGATGTTGAGGCCCCTCCATCTCTGATTCTCTGTAAGGACTGATCTTCCTGGTAAAGAGAAGGCTTCAGACTTTAGATTCACGGATCCTTCTAATGTACCCTTTATACCTGGCTCTTGGATCATTCTGCCTCCAGGAAAGTTTGTGCCCTGAGCTAGGTTCATGTGCACAATGCCCAGAATGAGTCACCATGGACTACAGAATGGATGCTTCCCTAGGCGTTAGGTGGAAGCAGCAGGAATCTCAGGCCCAGGCCCAGAGGTGAGGCAGGAAAAGGGTCAGTAGCTGTAGTCAGCGGGGAGGAAGGTTTCACCCAGAAGCTCCATCTGTTTCCTTTTACCTAAGATAGAACTGTCTTGTTCAGGCATAAGGCATGATGCCCTTACCCACTGTTTAAGCAAGTATGATATAACTCAAATCAGAGGTTCCTTCTAGAATATGCCAGAAAATCTTCAATTCCACACATTGGACTTGTTTTGCCAGCATAGTGCAATCAGTTTTTTGCTGGTATAAAATACTGGTGACGTAAGGGGTGGTGTGGAGGACAGAGAAAGGTGTCCGGGGGAAGTGAGCAAGGATAAAAAAGATAATCCAAATCAATACGAGAGAATACTTTTGGCCAAGCTTTAGTAACTGTCTTCCCTTGAACCTTCAAGAGAGCAGAACCCAGCTACCCATTCTGTGGAGGAACGAGCGCAGCACGGCGGTTGAGCGTACGGGCTCTGGGGCCACATAAGCTGGGTCTGAAACGCAGCTCTTTCACTTACTGGCTGTATGAAGCTGAACACGCCATTTAACTCCTCGCTGCCTCACTTACCTTATCCTTAAAAAGGAGGAAAATCAAGGAGCCTACCTCACAGGCTTGGTTTGAGGATTAATGAGGTAACACAGGTAGAGCTCGTAGGGTGGCTCTGTCCAACAGAACTTGCTGTGAGGATGGAAACGTTCTGGATCTGCGCTGCCCAAGTGCTAGCTGCTGGCCACAGGTAACTACTGAGCACTCGGAAGTGTGGCTTGTATGACTGAAAGACTGATTTTACTTAATTTTTATTAATTTACACTTTATTAAATAGCCAACTGTGGCCGGTGGCTACTGTCCTGGAGAGCTCAGAACAAGGTGTAGCATACAGTGAGTGCTCAAGTGATGTTGGCACTAGCATGACTACGGCGCCCTAGGTACTCTCTCCCCCCCTCCCTTCTGGAGGAGAGGTTCACACGCCGAGAGAATAAACATCCCCCGGGCCACAACAGCAGGGAAGCTACCTGTCAGGTGGGACCCCCTAGAGGACTGACTATATTCTCAGGAGCGACTCTCATCTGGTTCCACGCCAGTCACCTCACCCTCCCTAGAAGCTAGAGGAAAAAGGCCACGGGGTGCTTGGTGCCCACAGGGCCACTCCCTAAGTCTCAACATCCAGCAAGGCTCCCAAGTTGGTGCCCAAGATGTGTGGAGCACTGGGCTCCTGGCAAGACCAGCAGCTGTTAGGGTACAGCAGGCCGTCCCAGCTGCCAGTGCTACCCTTGTAGAACACGTGAAATTTCACTTTCTTTCTTTCTTTTTTTTGGTAAATGAAAAAATCATTGCGTTTACAAAGAAATCTTAGCTACTTTTCAATGATGATACTTGCCAGCCAGGGTACATTAAATATCGAGATCGTAGCATCTGAGGACTTGAAAAACTATTTTCTGAGAGAATCAGCTCAATGTCTTCATTCCTTTGAAAACATACAGAAAAACCTAGGTTAATTAGGACAATCAATTTTAAGCGGCCCATTTTGCTTCCCCCCCGCCACAGATGCACAAGCATGTACACATACATTTTTTCTGTTACTGCACACCCCCAAATCCTTCAGTATGCCTCCCTCTCCAAAGAACTGCACACCCAAATCCTTCAGTATGCCTCCCTCTCCGAAGAACAAGGACATTCTCTTTCACAACAACAATACTATTATTATACCCAAGGAATTTAATACTGTGGACCAGCAGTACTGGTATCATCTAGAAGCTCATCATCAGAAACACAAAATGCCAGGCCCCACTCCAGACCTGCCAAATCAGACCTCTTATTTTAAGAAGATCCCTAAGAGATCTATATGCACATTAGAGTTGGAGAAGTACTGATCTAATCCATTTTCAAATTTTCCCTGTTTTGCCAGAGAGGGGACCCAGGATCCAATCAAGGACTGCTTACTGAATTTACAATCTTTATTTTCCTTTAATGTGGAATAATTCTTCCAACTTTTTTTTGTTTCTTACAGAGTTGACAGTTGTGAAGAGTACATGCCAGTTGTCCTGTGTCCTACAATCTGGATCTATTTCCTTATGATTAAATTCGGTTAAACATTTTTGGTAAGATTAATACCCAGGTGAGGTTATGTCCTTCCCAGAGCATCACATGAAGGAGGCACACGATGTCAGTCTGCCCACATAGTGGTCTCTAAGTCTAATCATTTGGTCAACGTCATGTCTACTAGATCTCTCTACTGTGAAGGTACTTTCCCCTCATCGTAAGCAGTAAGTAGTCCATGGAGTGATGTTAATGTCCTTTTCATCAACAATCTGTCACCCACTGCTCTTAGTATCCACTGGTGATTCTTGCCTAAATCAAGTATTATACTAACAGTTACAAAATAGTGACTTTCTGGTTCTATAAATTCTTATCTATTAGTGTTAGGAGAAATTTACTGTCCTGCCTCTCCTCATTTTTTTAGTATCACCATGGACTCATTTTATTCCATGTGCTATAATTTGTTATTACATTTGTTTTCTCTTATGCTCAAGCTGTTCCAAATTTGTCTAGTGGGAGCTTCTTGAGCTAGCTCTGGTATCCCTCTGACATATCTCTACTAATCTTTGATACCTCCTTGCTTTTTTAGCACAAAATGTACAAGGCTCACCTGTACTTTCCCTACCCTAGACCTGCAATCAGTCAATTCTCCAAAAAGTCCTGATACCTTGTATTGGGGACTGATGTGTAAAAACCAGGATCTAGAGGAAGGGGTGTTTATTCTACTGTGGTATTAGTATTTCTGGTCCCTTTCAATGGGAAGAGCTAGGAAATATACATTTTTTTGAAATAATGAATTTATATTGACTCTCACAATTCAAATCCACCGTTCACAGGGTTTTTCTTCACCTTTCCCACTT